TTGGAGTGGGTTCCTTCACTCCAGCCCAGCCGAGCCACCAATCTGGCAGCTCAGGAGGCTGACGTGGTTGGAATCTCACTGGGGCCTCCAGAAATGTTGCAGAAACCAGTAATCGAGAAACCAAGCACCACATTCAGAGAGCTGGAGAACTCAGGTTTATTATGCCAGCGGGCTCAGAGGAGTTAACACTCCCAAGCTCTGAGCCCTGAACAAAGGGGTTCCAGAGTTTTTATAGACAGACTATAGTGGGCAACACTGCTGCTAATAGGCTGGTTTAAACTAAGGGGTTTCGTGTGCATGGGAACAGAGTCAAGATGGGGAGGGGGATGCCTGACCTTTACACACTGAGGCATGATTAATCAGGTTTTCAGGGGCTGAGCAATTGCAAAGAGCAGGAAAAGGGTGAGCAAGATAAGCTGCAGTCCCTAGTATTGTACGTCCCCACTTTCTGAGACTACATGACCTAAGTGATCCAGACTGCAAAGAGCAAGCTGAGTTACAGAGGCAGAATGAGCAGGAGGTTATGTAAATTTTTAACTTTTCTTCTTCACTACTTTCCATGACTTAATCTTCTAGGTCTAAGATGTTTCCTTAATTTTTCATTGAATCCTTCTATTACAATTTTAATTTAAGGATTCATATTTTTATTAATAAGAGCTCTTTCTTGATCCTTGCTTCTTTTTTAGCACTCTGTCCTTGCTTTATGTATACAAACTTCGGTAAGTCCCCTACATACAAATGAGTTCCAATCTGAGAACATGTTCATTAGTCCAAATTGTACATCCAACAAAGTTAGCCTAGGTACCCAACTAACAACTGGCTACACAGTACTGTACTGTGATACTTTCCACATAAATAATACATAGAAACAAACAAAAAATAAAGCATTTTTAAACTTACAGTACAGTACCTTGAGAAGTACAGTAGAACAGTACAACAGCTGGCATACAGGGGCTGGCATCAAGTGAACAGGCAAGAAGAGTTACTGACTGGAGGAGGGAGAGGAAGTGGGAGATGGTAGAGCTGAAGGACTGTCAGCAATAGAGATGGAGGGCAAGCTACAGTTTCGCTCACACCTGACGCTGATGGAACTTACATTCACATCTTTGAAAGTTCGAAACTTGAAGGTTTGTATGTAGGGGACTTACTGTATTTATCTTCCTGATGATATTAATGATCATTAAAAATGTCTTCTAAACTGCATTGTCTTGGTTTCCTCCATGTTCCATTTCTGTGTTAGTTTCTGTCTTTCCCTAAATGTTAGGGGAGCTTTTTGCTGCCTTTTTGAATTTAAGCACTAAAAGGTGGTTGGAATATCTGAGAGAGCGAGAACATTGTTGCTTGGTGAGCTTTGCCATGGGATTTTAAGGTGGGGTGTTAGATTTTTATTGAGTGGACCCCATGTGTGTTAGTTCTGTAGGCGTTTTCTCTTGGCTTAGTTAGCCCTGGAAGGAGCCCACCAGTTTCCTGCTTCTGGGAGTGAGGGGAGCAGTGAAGGGCACAAGTCTGACTGCCACTGTTCCAGGAACCAAGCAGGGAAAGGGCCTGAAGACTGCTCTTCGTTTGGCATCAGGATGAGAGAGGCATAGTCTCTGGTTGAGTGGATCTGGCAGTGTAGCTGTTTCTCATGCAAACCTTCAATGTCTGTGACGTTAAATCAGCTTCCTCTTGTTGCCTTCTTGATCCAGCTTTCTCTGCTCTGTGGTTGGTTACCACTCATCCATTCCCTTTCTAGTTTCCAGACATTTGTTGACAATATCTTACTTGCATCTCCTTTTCCATTCCCTTTGTCTTTGTGGGTTCATGATGTTTTTTTTTCTTTGACTGTCATTTAAGTGGAATTTCATGAGAGCAGAGATAAAACATATATTTAGACCACTGTATGTAATCATGCCCACTCACTCTTCAACTCCCTGAAATGTCTTCTGCCACTACCACACTATTGAAAGTGTTCTTTTCAGGGTCACCTGATGAATAACTTGTTGCTAAATTATGATAGACATTTCTTTGTTTTATCTTACTGTTTCATCTTGCTTGGTCTCTTAGCATTTGTCCCTACTGACCATTTTTACTTGAAATTTCTCTGCCCTTAGCTTGAGAACACTCCTGGTTTTCCCCCTACATATCTGGTTTCATTTGCCTTTGCAAGCACTCTTCCTTGACCTATCCCCTTAATGCTGTTGTTCTTTGTGCTTCTGTCGTAAGCAGTTTTCTTTTCTTATTGCATATTCTCCCTGTTGCAGACTTATAGTTCCTAAGGTTTTGGTTACCGTCTAGCTGTTGATGATTCCTAACTCTCTATATCTAAATATTCTTTTCATGGGCTCAAGTATAGCCTCTGTGGTAGGTGGAATAGATAGCTAACTCTGGTATGGCTTGAGAATAATCTACATAACCTAAATATCTTTCTCACTGGTCTCTCTCACAGGGTCTGAAATTCTTCCCCACAATTAATCATTGTTATGTATTAAGAACCAGGACTTCAGTTAAGAGAGAGAGAGTTATTTCTTCCCCCTTACTAATGACTGACAGCTCAGTTGGTAAAGAATCTGCCTGCAATGCAGGAAACTCCAGGTTGATTCCTGGGTCAGGAAGATTCTCCTGGAGAAGGGATAGGCTACCCACTCCAGTATTCTTGGGCTTCCCTGGTGGCTCAAATGGTAAAGAATCTGCCTGCAATGTGGGAGACCTGAGTTCTATCCCTGGGCTAGGAAGATCCCCTGGAGGAGGGCATGGCAAACTTCTCCAGTATTCTTGCCTGGAGAATCCCATGAACAGAGAAGCCTGGCAGGCTACAGTTTATGGGGTTGCAAAGAATTGGACACGACTGAGTGACTAAGCACAGTACATGCCAATTTAATTAAAATTCTCTGTATCTAAAATGTTGCCCTGCAGTTAATGAAAGACATTTTAGTGTGGTTTATGTATAATGCTCAATAAAGAATATTTAAGCTGTTTATAGATTATCCATTTTTATAGATAATCTATAAGGTCAGATGTTTTTAAAATTCAGCATGACAAGATACAGTGGCAAACTTTGCTTTACTAAATAAGACCAAGTTATAATTCAGGATTGTCTTTTAAACAGCTATCCAAAAACAACATACAGCTGTAGAACTACTGTATATATGTGATTAGTAATGGTGCTTTAGCCAACTCAGTTAGAAGGATTAAATTACAGGAGATATACCAGCAGCACAAGCTTTGTAAATTATGTGATCATAAGGCTTAAGAATTAAAACCAAAATCATAGGCTAAAAAATATTTATGAATTAGAGCCGTGATATCAAAGAATATTTGCATTTGAACCTATTTTCTCATGTAATGCTAAATTTGGCCTCCAAAATCTGAGTCATTTTCAGTCCTAATAAAAATATGTAGGCTTATTTAATAGAAACATAAAAAGCTGCTATGATGCCTTTATTTATAATCATAAATGCTATCTCATTTTACTTTATATTTCTTTGATTTGTCATGTAGTTGGGATTTTAAATATATTTGTTGGCTATTCATTTTCATGTTTATGAATTAACTTTCTGTTTTATATGTCTATACTTCTCCTGTCACCACTTTACTTTCTGCTCATTCCTAGACACCTGAAAAACCTGATCTGCCTCTAGTTTTGACCACTTCCAGTCCATCCACTGCAGCTGGAGTATTGTTCTTGAAATATAAATTTGCACTCATCACTCCTCTGCCTAAAATGCTTCAGGGGCTCTCATTATACTAGTCTTTCACTTGTTTATCCTGGCCTGAAATTTATTCCCGCAGCATCTCTATTTTCAGAAACAGCCAAAAGCTATTGTCGTAGATGTGTAACAGGGTATCCATGCATGAGGAGATCTATTTCTTTAACTCCTCATCACCTTACAACTAGTTCACCATACAAGTTTCCTCTCTGGTCATCCTACATTCAGTGCCTCTTTTCTCCACTCTAAGGTGCATATTGTTGCCAAGTTAATGTTTCTTTCCATACTGTTATTTGCATGCTCCAGAATTCTCATTGGCTCTGATTCAGGTCAGGCACAGGGCCTAAACATGTATGTTTCAATCAAAACTCAGAGATAATTCTGATGTGGAATAATTTTTGAGAATTGCTGAAGTATGTAAAAATATACCTTAATTAAAAAAAAAACTCTCTACATGGTTAAGGGTATAGAGTTTAGAATCCAGGGAACATGGGTTCAGTTATATTTCTTTTTTTCTAACCCTTGTGTGACCTTGAGCAAGTTCCTTAACCTTACTATGTCTCATTTACAAAATGGAAATAACATTTGCTACACAGGGTTATGGTAAGGAGTAACTTAGATAATGTGTGTAAAGTGCATGCATGGTGTCTTATACATACTGAATGCTCAATAAAAGTTACCATTTGTGGTGTCATTGTTAGTCATTCAACAATTATTTATTCACTATGTGTCCAACACTGCGTTAGGAACCATGGTATAAAATGTGGATCCCGCTTTTGAGACTCTTACAATTAGTTAGGGAGATAAAACTAGCATAGCATTATATAACTAGAGAGCAATAAAATTAAATGTAAATGTTATAAAAGGTCAAACAAAGTATAGTATTTAGGGGAAGATTTTAACCAAGCCCTAGCATGCTGGCTTGTTGATTAACATTAAAAAAAAATAGAGGGGTAGAAAAAAAATCTCTCAAACTTCTGTCACCAAGCTTTCAGAGGTCTAGTTTTGATGCTGCCTGCCAGATGGAAAATGATGCAGAGGGAAAAAAATCCTGTATTTGCTTCTCCAAATTAAGACAGGATGGGGGAGTGTGTTTGAGGAATGAACATATGTGAATAAATATAGTATAACCCTTAATTGGTTCTTGATGATTAAAATTTAAATGGTTTCCATTGGGAAAGGACAGATATTTTTCATTTTAATCAAGTCCTACCAGTCATTTATCTTCACCTTGTTAAACCAGAAATCAAACATTGGATAAAGGTTGCAAATCTATTTTGATGTATATTAATGCACTTTTCTCTCTTTCAGGGTCGCTATGGCAACTGCATCTTCTCAAGTTCTGATTCCAGACATCAATTTTAATGATGCCTTTGAAAACTTTGCTTTAGATTTTTCCAGAGAAAAGAAACTGCTGGAGGGGCTAGATTATTTAACAGGTGTGAAAATACTGTGCTTTCCTTTCCATTTTAGTCCTTTTATTTTGGTAGGCTTTTACTTTAAAATAATCTGAAAAGGCCTTTATAAATATAAAAATGCCTTTATAATCTTTAAAATGATACATATATCTTTTTAGATAGAATATATTTTAATTCATGTAACATAAAATAGAAATGATTTGTCAAATATTTCCAAGGACAGAATGGGTATACACACCATCCCTACTTGAAGGTAAAAAACAAGAAGTTGCTGATGGTTTTCTCCTTACGAGCCTGTCAGTAATATAAGGTCGCCTGTTATAGGGGTAGAACTCGGGTGGTAATTAAAGAATATTAGAGAATTTTTCACATGGGTACAGGTACCACCCAAATGCTTGTAAGGAAATTTAGGAATTAGCAGAATAGGAAGAAAAATGTAAGAAATATCTGACTTGCAGAGAGAATTTTAGAAAATGAGGGCAACAACTTGTCTGTTAAAAATACTGACTGCCTTCAGGAAGTTTGAATGATCATTTCATGAGGAAATATACACGCACAATAGCTTTGTGTTTGTAGTTATCTTTGTTACTATATTAAAATAGGTGTCATTGACGGAGCATCTCCTTTAAGCCAGACACTATATATTAATTTTACATCATGATCCTTACAAGGAATCTGTGAGGTTAATGATCATCCCCATTTTACAGATGAGGAAACTCATATTAATTTGCACAAATAATCCCTATTAATACTACCAAAATATATAATACATCTTATTTTGAAATAAAAAGAAAATGGATTGAAGGCCATATAATAAGGAAACACATGACTGCGTTATTCTAATAGCTACGTATGTGTTAGTGCAGGCTGAGTAGACAGTGGGTCTACTGAGTAATTTAGGCTTAGATCTTTGCCTAAAATCCCTATATCATTGAAGCAAAAGTGGTTAGGGGAACTTGAGGTCTCAGCACTTGACTTCAGGTTGTGTGGTATGTGCAATCTAAAGCTTCTTTTTAAGAAAACCTCCTTTCCAGGAGATGTTGGATTGGTTAGCAAGAGTAACATTATAAAATGCCATAACAGAGAGTATGTTTTCCTTACCTTCTTTTCCACCTTTCGTTACAGCCCCCAACCCACCATCTATCCGAGAGGAACTCTGTACTGCCTCCCATGACACCATTACGGTCCACTGGATCTCGGATGATGAGTTCAGCATCAGCTCCTATGAGCTTCAGTACACCATATTCACTGGCCAGGCTAACTTCATCAGTAAGTCATGGTGTAGTTGGGGCCTGTGGCCAGAGATAAGGAAATGTAAGGAAGCAGTAAGCTGCTCAAGATTGGCCGGGGCGCCACGAGGCAAGTGTTTGTAAGACATGTTAGGTTGTTTAGTATAGTGTTGTATAGACAGTGCAAGCTCCCCCAGCACATTGCAAAGATCTTACTGATGGGTGACAAGCAAATTGTGTATTTCCTTGCTGGGCAGTCATTGGGGCCACTCCCATTTGTTTATGTAATCCTTAGCCTTTCTTGAGTTAATCCATGTTACTCCACTCTCTGAAATCCGAACACAGCTCAGAATTCATTCCTAAGTAGTTAAGTCACAATCATTGCTGATTCTATGTGTGTGACCATCTCTTTTCTTGACTCTTCTTCCACTTCATTATCATGGTAAAAAACATTACATTCAAAGACTACCACTTCCTTTACTGTACCCATTTGTATCAGTGAATAAGTGACAAGCCTCCTGCCTCTGTCACTCTTCCCTCTATCCCCTCTCCCTTTCCTTCAAAAATTACAACAAATATAAAAGTGCATCAGCGAGCCACCAAATGAAAGATGTTCTGAAAGCAGTCATTTAGCTCACATGTTATGGTTTTACCTTCTGATGAATTGGAACAAGACATAGGACCTTAACTCAAACTGCAAGATCCCCTCAACCTGCTGGAGAAAATGGAAATGAAAGCAAAATTAAAGCTGAATTCAAGATTGGAACCAACTTGCATGCTAAAGTTGCATCTGCATAGCTGCAAATTAGTATTTTCCTTTTATCTTGTGTTTGTGCTTCTGTGTCTGACTTCACAGACCTGTGTGAGAGGAGTTTTTCTGATGAAACCCTCCTGAAAGGGCTTCCTTTTCCCATCTTGTGACAATTTAGGGCCACATGGTGGGGTTGGGAGGTGAGAGGACATTTGGGGTCCAACTCAAAAAAAAACACTTGCCTCGTGCAGCTCCAACCTAAGCCACTTGGCCCTGGTAGCTGCATTCCTGGGTGTTTGTTCAGGTTGTGAAGCTGAAAAATGCTAAGGCCTCCCCAACACACATGTTTACAGTGGCCTCTCCTGCTCTGGAAAGTCTTAAAGCCAGTAACTGTGCTTTTCTTTCCTGATATGGGGAGAGCAGTGGTCTCCTGGGAGTTGAGAATAAGGTCCAAGAAGTGACAAAGATCAAAAGGCTGTTACCTCTATTTTCAAGGATAGATAGTCCTTTGTAAAGAAAAGCTTAAAGGATAAGTCTTAATAGTGATAGGATCATAGCATTTTAGAATTGGAAGGGACCTAGGAAGTCATCTAGTCAAATCTTCTTCCCTTCTACCATATACCTTGTAGGTGGTTGTTCTGTCTCTGCTCAAACATTTCCAGTAATGGAATTCTAGCAAAATAGCCCATTCAGTTGTTGTGCAGCTATAAATAATTGTCAGTGCTTCCTTATAAAAGGCCCAAGACTTCCTCCTAGTGAATAATAATAATAGTAATTTACATATGTATGTGTTTCCATTTACAGACATTCCCATATATGTTATCTCATTTGGTCCTCATGACTTCTTCCTTAGCCTTATGAAATAGATGATATTAATTATTTTATAATTGTAAAATTATAGACATAGAAATCGAGGCTCAAGTTGAATGAGTTGTCCAAGGTCACAGAGCTGCAAACTGAGGGAATCATGATTTGAACCCAAGCCTTTCAGACTTTAAGCTTAATGCCTCTTGAATTAAACTAGCTACCAATTAGTCCTTGTCCATGGAGGATAGCTGAATTATTGCTTTTGTGTATTAGCTGATATCCCCTTACCCCATACCTTTTTTCTAGCAGCCACATTGACTATTATGTTGACTGAACATAGAGTAAGCTGAACTCCCTAGGCACTCCAAATCTCATTCCTATATGATTGAGTGTTTAAACTGAAATACAACATCTTGAATTTATTCCTAGGGACATTTTTATCTGGTTAGTTCTGACTCCTTACCAAGCCAGCTAAATTTTTGGGGGGGAGTTTCTGCCTCCCAATATATTTACCTTCCCTCCCAGCCTGCCTTCTCTGTCTTCCTCCTCTGATCATTGATGGAAAAGTGTAATAGGACAGGGACAAAGATAGAACCCTGAAGCAAAATTTTGGATGGCATTGGACAGATAAGTTGAAACTATTTTACTCAGAATAAATATTCATGAAGATTCCAGTCCTACATGCTTGTCTGGCCTGCCACTGTTGACTGAACTCTGTTTGTGAGAGCTACTTTCCCTTGAGGTTTTCTCTTTTAAAAACCACTTTATTGAAGTGTGATTGACATGTAAAAAGTTGTCCATCAACAGATGAATGGATAAAGAAAATGTGGTATATACATAAAATGGAATATTATTAAGCTTTTAAAAAGAAGGAAATCCTGCCACATGTAATACCATGGATGAACCTGGAGGGCATTGTGCTAAATGAAATAAGCCAGACACAGAAGGACAAATACTACATGATACCACTTATATGAAGAATTTTAAAATAGTCAAACTCCACATTTTCTTTAACCAGAAATTTCTTCCTTGTTTGTTAGAATTTTGTCTGGCGAAATAGTTCTCCTAATTTTTTCAGCTTTTCTCCTTTATTTTGAACTTTCTTCCCACTTTATGTAAAATTTGAAATGGTCATAGGCCAATAGTGTTTCAGATGATGCTGTTGGCTGAATGAAAATTCCAACAGATGTTTGGATAATGGTCTTCCCCATTACTGTATTTCTTTCCTCTGTTTCAGTTTTGCATTTTGTATTATAAAAGCAACTGGCTATAACTTCTGGCTGCCAGGTGGTCTGTAACATACTGTCACAAAGATTAACTTCTGTCTCCCCTCAGTCTTGTTCTCATGCAAATGCTCTCTATGCCCATTTATACTCAGGTTCATGGATTTCCATATTGTGGTCTTTTCCTTTTGAACAAGGTGTATACTTCCATTACCATAAATAAGTGATAAATCCCATCTCACTAAGTCTCAGTGATACCCAGAGGATCATATATTTACCTTTTTAAAATTTAGAAATGATTTCAAAATTACTGAAAAGTGTGCAGGACTAGTGCAAAGAACACCCATATACTCTTCACCCAGATTCACCTATTGTTAATATTTTATCGCATTTCTTTTATCATTTGCTAACATTCTCTATTACTGTGTTTTTTCTGAACCATTTAAGAGTAAATTGCATACATCATGGCTTTTCACTCCTAAATTCTTCAGTATGTGTTTCCTAATAATAAAGAAATTCTTTATGTATCCACAGTAGTTATTAACTTTAACAGATATGATGTTGATGCAGTGCTTTTAACTAATCCACCATTCATATTCCAGTCTTGACCATTGACCCAATAATATATTTTATGACATATAGAACCCAATATTGTCCTATATAGTCTAAAATCAGGTACTGGACTTAATTGTCATATTTGTAGCATCCATTAATTTGGAACATTTCCTCAGCCTTTCTTTGTCTTTAATGACATTGTTATTCTTTTTTAAAGTGCCCTTTTGTTTATTTATTATGCTGTTCCTTGAGTTTGTCTGATGTTTCCTCATGATTATATTCAGATTATGCATTTTTGGCTTCCATCACATAAGTGATGTGTTCTCCTTAGGACATCACATCAAGAGACACACAATGTGTACATGCCCTTCATTGGTGATGCTGATTTTGATCACCTGATCAAAGGTGTTATCTGATTTCTTCTCTGCATAGTTACTATTTTTCCTTTTGCAACTAATAATCAATCTGTACAGTGATACTTTAAGGCCATAAAAATATCCTGCCTCCTCATCAAATCCATCCTACTTCCATCCCTCTTTTAGCATCAATCAATAATTCTCACCTGATCCAAAATTTACTCTGATGATGGCAAAATAATGATTTTTCCAAGTGAGCATCCCATCCCACATTTACAGGTTGCCATTCTGCATTCTACTGTAAGCAAAAGTCTCATCCTTTATTTGTTTATATTTTTACTTCTCAGTATGGACTCATGAATTCTGTTTTTTCATTCGTTTATAATTCTTTATTGCCCTTACTTATTTTGGTGCTCAGATTGCCCAAATTTAGCCAGTTGGAGCCTTTTAAGCTGACTCCTGAGTCCTTATATTCTGCCATCGTTTTCTCGAGCACTTCCTTACTTTGCAACATAACAAAAGGTTATTGGCTAATTTTAGACCATTCCCTGCTCCAGCCTTGAAATCAGCCATTTTTCCAAGGAACCCTGGTCCCTTTTCATGGCAGGATGTTATTAGAGACCAAGACCTGGGTACTAGAAAAATACACACATAATTCACCCATGTACATATACATATTCACACATAATATATGTATTTAATGTATGTGCACGCATGTATGCACATACACATACACATTTTAGAAATAATGAGTTCATAGCAATATCTCTAGCCCATCCTCCCATCTTGCCACCACCCATTTCATACTTGGATGTTCCTACTTCCACAGTGAGAACCCTGGCTCCCAACAGCATCAACACATATACTCATTTGCTCAATCCTGTAGCATATCTGAAATAGTTTCAGAATGGCGTTGCCCATACCACTACAAAAACAAGCAATACTGGAGCATCTATTGACAGTTCTCCTCTTGCCCTTTTCTGTGATTGTTGATATTTGAAATGCAGGTGGCTTCATTTGGTTTGTTTGCTTTCAGTTTAAGACCCTACTCTTACCATTCATATTGGTGTCATTTACATTTTTTAAATTTCTAAAGCAACATTTCTGAAAGGGAAAGGTATGAAAAAAAAAGGTATACTCAGAGAAGTGTCATTCTCTCTTGTATTCTTTTAATCCTCTTCCCCTACCCCCATCCCTTGTACGTATCTAGCTTCATTATTTTCTGGTTTTTCTTTCCTGTTGTTATTATTGCTTTGTAAATCTAGGCAAATATATGTAGGTTTTCTAATTTGCCTTTCCTTCTTGCATGAAAAAGGTAGCATACTACTTATACCCTTTTGTAATTTTCTTTTTAAAATTAGCAGCATATCTTGGAAATCATTCCATTACCAGTTCATAGAAATCTCCCACCTTCTTTTTTCATAGCTGCATAATACTTCTTTGTGAAGATTGTTTTCTCTTTTGATTTTTTTTTTGTATTGTTAGAAGCATACCTGAAAGATCATATATTTCCCTCCTACTGTTAAAATTTAATATGTAGTTTATGACTAATACTATGCATTGATATATTGGCAGTCAAGCCCTCCAACATTTTTTTTCTGGCCCTTATCCTTATTGTCATTTCATGAGAATCAATGAACATTGCCACCAATTATTCTTCTTTCTATAGCATATCTGTTTGTACTCCATTGTGCTTCTTTTTCTAGTTTTAATTTAGACTTCTACCTCCCCCCAAGTTAATTACAAAACCTTCCTGATCATATCTTTTTCAAATCAGTTATTATTATTTCATTTTTAATCTTTACTAAAGCTGCATAGAAATAACTAGATCCACCAGTCATTTCCCCTGCCCTTTCTTTTCCATCCTCTGGTAGAATTATGGTTAAAAAGTGGTAAAGTGAAAAGCAGATAACAGAAGAGATAAGTGTAAATTCACAGACTGGAATGTCTATCCCTCTTTTATAAAAACTTAGCTAAATACATGTTTTTAATTATGTATATTTTTCTCTGTTTAAGTCAATGTTTATGGTCTAAAGAGTTTCAAAAGCAGAAACCTAGATCTCTGGTCCGTTTCCCTACTTTGGAGGGAAGAAGGTTCCAGACAACAAATGTGTTCCTGGACTGCCCAACCTCAAATGAGTATTGGAATCAGAAACAGGGAGGGGTAAAATAAGTAGTGTCAAGTAAGGAGATGCTATTTCACTTTGACTATCGTGTCATCTCCTTGGCTTCCCTATGACACCTTGGAGCCCACCAGGATTGGAAGCAAGGGTGAGGATAGTGTGGGAGAGCTGAATCATAAGCCTTGAAAGCTTTGCTACCTTGCAGTGACAAAGGAACATTGTTTGCTCCATGAATTGTGGAGCAGTGTAGTGAAGAGAACACTGGACTAGGTTAAAGAGACCAGGGTTCTATTCAGTGCCACTCTCAGCTCTCTGTGGCCTTGGGCAAGTCACTTTCCTTCTCTCTTAGTTTCCTATTTGTAAAACAAGGGAAATACGGTGTTTAGTTGGCCTTTTGGCTCTGAGATTCCTTGTTATTCTGTTCTGTTCTACCCATTCGAGGGCCAGACTCAGATCTCAGAGGATTGAACCTTTGGGCTAAAGATCTAGAAATGCTATGAAAGACACGATTCTGTGATTTTGTGTAGAAGTTTTCCCTGTATTGTTTGGCAGAAAATTGAAGTAACTTTTCACCAGTGGTTACATTCAATTACCAGAGGCAAGGAGCCTGGCATAAGCTTAGCTCCGTGGGAGAAAAGAAGCAGATGGGATTCATCTCCCTATGTCTTCCACGACTCAAAACAAAATGAAATTTGCTTTGGGGGGCTTATGATGAATACTCAGTGTGCTTCTCATCCTGCCTTTTTTACATTAACATCCTTGCTTTCCCCACATTACAGGCCTGTATAATTCTGTGGATAGCTGGATGATCGTGCCCAACATCAAACAGAATCATTACACAGTCCACGGACTGCAGAGTGGAACACGCTACATCTTCATTGTTAAAGCTATAAACCAAGCAGGCAGCCGGAACAGTGAACCTACCCGACTCAAGACAAACAGTACGTTGTGATCGCAAAAGGAGAGAGCAGCTTTGCCCTCCTAAGCAGCGAGTACTCTTAGCCTGACACTGGCACCTCCTACAGCAGTGTAAGAGGGCAGAGGCACCAAGTAGAGAAGCTTTGCTGTTTGATTATGTGCTTTGGGCCAGAGGGGTTGTTTTTGCCCCTGGGAGGTATGTGGACACAGAGATATACAGAAAACAGCTGGTGGCTTGGGAGGATGTTAGTGAAGAAATGTTTTTGTTTATTTATTTTTGACTGTGTTGGGTTTTCATTGCTGCATATGGGCTTTCTCTAGTTGTGGTGAGCTGGGGCTGCTCGCTAGTTGCCATGCACGGGCTTCTCATCGTAGTGGCTTCTCTTGTTGCAGAGTACAGGCTCTAGGTGCATGGCTTCACTAGTTGCAACATGCAGGCTCAGTAGTTGTGGCTCGCGGGCTTAGTTGCCCCATGGCATGTGGAATCTCCCCAGGCCAGAGATCAAACCCATGTCCCCTGCCTTGGCAGACAGATTCTTAATCGCTGGTCCACCAGGAACGTCCAGTGAAGATTTTTCTCTGCACTCTGCCTCCATACTTGGGGTGCAACTGAGTAAAAGAGTACTGTTTGTAATAATCTGGTAAAATTCTCCTTCAGAGAAGCCAAACCTGTTAGGAATGCTTTTTGACAGAAAAATCCAACTAATTTAGCTTGACAAATATTATTTGTGAGCAGCTTAAACAAATTGTATTTTTTTCTCTCTTTCACATAGCAAGAAGCTCAAAGGTAGGCAGTTCAGGGATGGTGCCTGTCATAAAAGACCAAGACTCCTCCTCCCTTTGTGTGTTGGTTTATTGCTAACCTGGCAATAAGTACCAACCTGGCCACTGCAACCTCCAGATGACTTATTTCTTTTCAAGATAGAAAGAAGGGGGAAAACGCTGGTACATGCAATGACTATCTCTTTTACCAAGAATGTAGGCATTTTCCCAGAAGTTTCCCCACCCCATCTGACCTCTGCTTCATCTTCTTAGTCACCCCTAGCACAAGGGAGGCTAGGAGCTTGAGTATTTAGCTTTTCTTGCCTCTATAGTAAAAGCAGGTAAGAGAAAAAAAAGTAGTGGGTGGGTGTTACATTGCCCAACGGTGTCTGTCAGACATGTTTTGTATTATACAGCTCTTGCCATACCCAGCTGTTGGCTCCTAGTAACTAACTGCTTTTGTCTTATGACTTTAAGGAATTCTTTGTTGGAAATGATCCAACACAACAGATATTTTCTCTAATTATTGATGGTGCAACAATCACTCTAACAAAGTGACCTATTAGATGTCATTTCAGTTCAGTTCAGTTCAGTCGCTCAGTCCTGTCCAACTCTTTGCGACCCCATGAATCACAGCACGCCAGGCCTCCCTGTCCATCACCAACTCTCAGAGTTTACTCAAACTCATGTCCATCGAGTCGGTGATGCCATCCAGCCATCTCACCTTCTGTCGTCCCCTTCTCCTCCTGCCCCCAATCCCTCCCAGTATCAGGGTCTTTTCCAATGAGTCAACTCTTCACATGAGATGGCCAAAGTACTGGAGTTTCAGCTTCAGCATCAGTCCTTCCAGTGAACACCCAGAACTGATTTCCTTTAGGATGGACTGGTTAGATCTCCTTGCAGTCCAAGGGACTCTCAAGTGTCTTCTCCAACACCACAGTTCAAAAGCATCAATTCTTCGGCGCTCAGCTTTCTTCACAGTCCAACTCTCACATCCATACATGACCACTGGAAAAACCATAGCCTTGACTAGATGGACCTTTGTTGGCAAAGTAATGTCTCTGCTTTTTATTACATCCCAGTAATTAGAGGGCAAAACAATTTGTCCTATAGTTGAGTTATTCTCAGGTTTTTTGTTCTGCCACCAAGCAGCAATTATCTCATCTATCCCCACTTTGCCTTACCTGAAATACTCCTTTCCCTAAAATCTGCTCAAATCCCAAACCACCCACTGAAATAAAGCAAAGTACAAAAGTTATTTGAGAATAGGAGACCTTGAGACCCCCTTTTAATTTGACAGTCTATGAAGGGGGGACAGCTTATTTTTATTTTATTGAAAACAGTGGCTTCTGTCCTGCTTCTTTCATATAATCCAAACACCAGTCAGCTTTCACTGACTCAAGAATGATCATTATGTCGAGGTTCCTCTGATAGTGATGGTCCTGCAGAACCAAGAGAGAATTCTTACATACTTTCTCATGTATTTTTTTTTTCCTACGTTATTTTTCAGGCCAACCCTTTAAACTGGATCCCAAAATGACTCACAAGAAGTTGAAGATTTCCAATGATGGATTGCAGATGGAAAAGGAAGAAAGCTCTCTGAAGAAGAGCCATACCCCAGAGAGGTTTAGTGGCACTGGGTGCTATGGGGCAGCAGGAAATATATTCATTGACAGTGGTTGCCACTACTGGGAGGTGGTCATGGGGTCCTCCACATGGTGAGTGGATTCAACTTTTCTTTCCCCCTGTTGTTAGGTTCCTGGGAGATTCAGTTTGATAGTACAAATATAATACCAGTAAGTTAAGGTTAAAAGGCAAGTGATGGAAACCACTCTTAGAAAAATGTTCCAGTTTTTTAAAAATCAAATCATGGAAGATATACTGAGCTAGGAGTTGAAAATTACAGCACTCTAATTGCTAACTTTTTTTTTAAAGCTCTAGTGCTATCACTGTTATGGATCTAAATATAAACTATTTAAGGAAGAAACATGTATTCTATTGCATAGATGTCCTGTATCATGTCTGTGCTGTGCTGTGCTTAGCTGCTCAGTTGTGTCCAACTCTTTGCGACCCCATGGACTGCAGCCTGCCAGGCTCTTCTGTCCATGGGCTTCTCCAGGCAAGAATACTGGAGTAGGTTGCCATGTCCTCCTCCAGGGGATCTTCCCAACCCAGGGATCGAACCCAGGTCTCCTGCATTGCAGGCAGATTCTTTACCATCTGAGCCACAGGGAAGCCCAATGGTATCTAGCATAACTCAGATCATGAATAGATGTGATCTCCTTTCCATTGTCTCACAGGTATGCAGTTGGCATTGCCTACAAATCAGCTCCTAAGAATGAATGGATTGGCAAGAACGCCTCCTCGTGGGTCTTCTCGCGATGCAATAGTAACTTCATAGTGAGACATAACAACAAGGAAATGCTGGTGGACGTGCCTCCACAGTTGAAGCGCCTGGGTGTCCTTCTGGATTATGACAACAACATGCTGTCTTTCTATGACCCAGCTAACTCTCTCCATCTTCATACTTTTGATGTGACCTTCATTCTTCCCGTTTGTCCAACATTCACAATCTGGAACAAATCCCTAATGATCCTGTCTGGCTTGCCTGCCCCAGATTTTATTGATTACCCTGAGCGGCAGGAATGCAACTGCAGGCCTCAAGAATCCCCTTATGTTTCTGGGATGAAAGCTTGCCATTAAGTTTCAAGAGAGCATGTAATAATTCACTGGCTCTCCAGTTCAGCAGTGCTTCCCGTCCTAAACCTCAGTTAGTATCCAATATACAGGATACAAAAATGAAGTTCATTTGAAGCATCCAAAAGAACTAGATATTATAGATTTAATTTTTGTGCATTAAAGCTTGTATTTGAATTAATGTATTGAGTTTCTCAGAACAAATTATGAGTAGTCTGGGTTCAAGCCATTGGAGAACAAATTTGGAGAATTCTTCTCTTGTCATTGAAGAATTCAAAATTCCCAGTGATTTAGGAGTATAAATGATATTGGAAGGAATTCTAGGTAAATAATGTATAAAGATGCTCTGAACAAGGGGCTAGTCAGCCAGAAAGCAGGGATGCGTCAGCCTTTCTAGTACTGGCTGATTTGGTCAAGTAGAATTTTGAAATGTCAAATGATCCCATATTATATGTAGCTTTTTATGAAAACCTACAATCAAGGATTTATTATAAAGAAAACATGTATGTGTATATATAATATATATATAAAATGAATAAATAATATATATTATATATTCATTTTATAATTATATATGCATAATGAACTTTTAAATTTACTCATTTGAGTGAGAAATATACTGGAAGGGAAAATAAATTATACCATCCATTTTTGTCCCGTAAAGGGAACATCAAAATCATTTCTCCCCTCCCTCCATTCATCCCTCCCTTCCTCCCTCTGCTCACACACACATGCACATGCAATAATGACATAGATGGTGGGAAGAGCTCTAAATTGGATTAGGAGACATAGGGAGACAAGACTGCACAAGAGATGCTCTTGCTGGATAGAAAATTGATCCAGGTAGTTGTGTTATGTGTAGCACACTTTCATTGGTGCTACCTAATGGAGAAGGTCTGTCTGAACTGTTAAAAATTCTGTCACAGAATATTTCAAAGAAATAGTTTTACTAGTCTCAAGTAGCATACAGTTACTAGAAATAGGCTTAAAAAAACAAGAGTTGCATAATGGAGGTTCTTTAGGAACCTGCTTTCTTTACTTAATGAGTAAGAATGGAGTGTTGTAGATGCAACAGCTATTTCCATATAAATGGACTTATATTTTCAGATAAAACACTTCTGAAATGCTTAAGAATGCCTGAGAATAGTCTGTTTTCTTAAACAGGTTGAATAATCGTTCTTCTCCTGATCTTGTTTACACTATTCATTTGCTTAGCCAACCCCTTCATGGCAAATGCAGATGTAAACTTCAACCCAGTCCTTATTGCAAACATTGAAGGGAATTAAGCTTTATGGTCAATGCTTCTGTCAGTTCCTCTTCTGTAATTGGGAGTGTCAGCACCAGAGCTCTCTCCTTTCAGGAGCTAAGTCGGCTTCAAAGAATCTACTTCTTGGGAGTTATGAAAATATTACTGTCATACAACGTGGTAGTTGTAAGAAGCCCCCAGATTGGAGCCTTGAAACAATGCCAAAACTTCTCCCCCTCTTCCTTTCCACCACCTTGGTGGGCGTTCATTCATTCATTCATTCAACAAGTTATTAGATGCCAGGTACCATGCTAGAGCTGACATATTAATAATCCACAGTTCCTGCTGTCAAATGACTTACTATTCTGCAGGAGAGACAAAATATCTATAAAAATCCCCTAAATAAGTTTTGTGTTGTTTGTGCACCTAACATGGAAAGCAAGACTGATTCAGATACAGATGGCAGGCTCAAACTTACCTATCTAGTGGCAAAGTCAGTATTTGGGGTTTTAAAAACCCTACATACTTACTGCTAATCAGGAGACAAGCAACCTCAGTAAGATTCAGCAGTGCTGGGAAATAGTTTGCTGTGTGGGAAAGCTCATCATAGCCTTTGAATTAAAATAATCGATTTCCTCTGCCATTTACTAGCTGTGTGACCCAGGGCAAGTACTTCACTTCTTTGAGCCACTGTTTCCTCTTCTGTACAATAATACCTACCTCACAAGGCTGTTTGCAAAGATGAAAAAAGATAGCACATGTAAACTGCTTAGCACAACACCTGGCATTTAGTTAAGTATGGCATTAGTATGGCATACTTAACTATGAAGCGTGGCATTTTGCTAAGTATGCAACAAATATTACTCTCCTATTACTCTCCTTTGCTCGGCCTCAGCCCCAATACAGTGTAGCAATGCTTTAAAATGGATGTCTTTCATTTCTAAGTTAACTCTGGGTCTCTCTAGGGCCTATGCCCAAATTCTTAAACAAAACAGATGATTTCAACCCCTTCATAAAACATTTCACTGGCATTCAATAGAAAGTCCCAGTTACTTATAGTTTGGCTTTTCAAGTCCCTATTTGCTTTCACAGTTTCATCTTTTGCCACCTTCCCCCTCACATTGATTGCTCTACCCAAGCTTAACTATTTACACAAGTTGTTCTCTGGGCCTGGAATAGAGACATTAGTAACTGTTTTGATGTCCAGAGTAAACAGCAGGAATTGTTCTTAAAGTAAGGGAATAGTGTGAAAATGCTGTCAATGCAGAACACTCCACCTCCATCCCAGTTCCAATTTTCTTTAAGTTAACCTAGGATCTCCAGTGCATTGGAGAAGGAAATGGCAACCCACTCCAGTGTTCTTGCCTGGAGAATCCCAGGGACGGGGAAGCCTAGTGGGCTGCTGTCTATGGGGTCACACAGAGTCGGACACAACTGAAGTGGCTTAGCAGCAGCAGCAGGGTCTCCGGTGCCATTCATTTTTTGTGCCTTTATATTGTAGTGCCCCAGGACAAAGCTTCATTGTCTCCACCCTACTTTTGACTCTAGCCTGGACTACCTTTCCCCACTTCTGCCCCACAATAGATTTAATTCCTGAACCCCTAGGCTGGGTTATGTTTTCCTCTTGGGAGCTCCCATGGCACCATGACCATGCCCCCTTCTCAGCAATAATCACATTGTATAACAGTGTTTTTCAAAGTGTGATCCTCAGACCACCTGTTAGAATTATTTTTGGTGTTTGTTAAAACAGTTGATTTTTAAAGTAGACCTCCAACCTAGATCTACTTAATTAAAATGTCTGGGCACATAAGTGGAATTTAGCATTTTTAACAAGCTCCCCCAGGTGATTCTGATGCATACCAAGGTTTGACATTAAGAATCATCCTCCCTCCTAGACTGTGAATACCTTGAGGGCAGGGGTTGTGTCTTTTTTGTTGTGGTGGTATTTTTAACACCTGACATAGTGTGTGGAACAGAGTAGTTGCCTGGCTAATGTTAATTGAGTGAATGTATGAATGAATGAATGAATAATCAAAGTTTCCCTGTTGTACTCTGATATCCATATTGGTATTTGTTGTTTTCTGGGCAGAAAAGCTTGGCTACTCCATGTGAGCTGTACTGATATTATTTTGCAGATGTTCCAGAACTCATACATATAAATGAGTATTGTCTTCCTCAAAAGCTCTTGGGGAATTGTTTGGAATTATTTGGAGCATGTGGCACAATTGTTTTCAATAATTTTTCAGTCTCTTCAAACTTTGTTCTTTGAATGTGGATTTATGTTTTGGTTACTGCCAAAAATCAGTCAGAGCTAAGCCTACTGAATAAAGTAGGAAATTAAACTGGGTTTGGGGTAAGCAATGAAGTTTCTGAGCCAAATAATGAAAAGTACGTTCCAAAAAATGGTGACAAAAGTGTTTGGTGGGGATATGGTGAATCCCAGATACTTCAGTAAACTTAAGGACTTTCATAGAATTCTGGCAATTTCAGGTACCTTAGAGATGTCATTGACTACCTCTAGCTAAACCCAGTTGGACAAAGGAAGTAAGACCTTTATTTAACATCTTCAAGGAAGGTGACTGCATAAGTTTTCATTGTTGCTGTCCTCAGTCTGTTCTCCTACAATCCTTTCTCCTAGCAAATTATTCTTTTGTCTGCAATTTATGCTATTTTCACTTTTTATATTGTCTTATTGAAAGAAGCACAAAACTAACAATAAAGTTAAACATGTTTTGAGAATATGAAAGAAATTTTAATGCCACATTGGAGTTCTGGCTACTTGTATGTAAGAGTAACTGCATCTGTATGTGTTTTTATCATGTGATTCCATTGTGTAAACTCTGGATGCAGTGACTTTCAAATTGCAGCAAAATCACATCTATGTTCTTCTCAGCTAAAATATACTAGGTGAACTTTCTAAGCTTCCATGGTTTACATATTTATATATGACTACCTGGATGGAGAAATCCACGGATGGACTTTTTGATAAGTGCAAATATTTGATACCATTTCTTCTACAGAATGGAGAATGTGAGGCTGACAGATGAGAACCTCTCCCACACTTATTTCAGTTCCTGAAGCCAACTGCAGCCTCACAGCCATTGGGCTGTACTTGGATGTGTATTTCAGGTTGGCCAGGTTGACTGCCATCAGGTCAGGTGAAACTGCCTTCTACAGTCTGATCTGCCAGCTTCAGACATATGCTATGTCATTGTTGTTGGCTAGAATATTTATTGGACTATTGTTGGACTATTTTTTATCAAATATTTTATCCCAGGCTTGTTTGCCCTGGGAGCTCTGGACCAATAGTGTCTCTCCTAGTGACAGAAACCTGAGCATCTGCGGATTACACAGCCTCATCCCTCTAAAATATCCCAGCCCATCCAAAAATGCTATATTATGAATTAAATAAATATATATGTATTCATGAGTTCTTGATTGTCTCTCACTGAAGCTTGAATTGGGGGAAGATTAAAAGGAAGAAGGTCCAGAGTTACTGGAAATGACAGGGGAAATTGATTACCATATTAATAGGTAAAGATTCAGGCAAGGAGGATCTGGAACATCTGGATATCGAGATCCAATCATGAAGACTTTGATTTCAGGTGCGGGATACAGTCAGAAAGACTAAAGAGATGAAGGTATATGGCCCAAGGAAACATGGCACGTTCATGTTTCAGTAATTGGGCCAGAAGGTGGTAATTAGGGAAGAACAAAGAAAACCCCAGTGCTGGAAAGTGAAAGTCGCTCAGTCATGTCCGACTCTTTGCAACCCCATGGGCTATATCCATGGAACTCTCCAGGCCAGAATACTGGAGTGGGTAGCCTTTCCCTTTTCCAGGACTGGAAACTAGTGGTTAAGGTCAGGATAGGGCCAGATATGAATCAACTTGCTGTTAAACATCTGGCCTGTAGGAGGAGCCTGGGAGAGTTAGGAGATCTCCCAGAGCTGGGGTAGCATGTGTGGGTGTGCATGTGTGTGCACATGCACTAAATCACTTCAGTTGTGTCTGACTCTTTGCTACCCTATGGACTGTAGCCGACCAGGCTCCTGTGTCCATGGGATTCTCCAGGCAAGAATATTAGAGTGGGTTGCCATGCCTACCTTCAGGGGGGATCTTCCTGACCTGGAGATTGAACCCGTGTTTCTCATGTCTCCTGCATTGGCAGGCGGGTTCTTTACCACTAGCATCACCTGGGAAGCCCATCCAACCCAGTAATTCTTCCCAAATAATGGTTGATTTATGAATTAGAGTTATTAGTGGTAGCTGTAAAAGGAAGCCTTTACTGGAGACACAGGTATGAGAGTGGAAGCTCTTACCAGACTTGTACATAGGAGATACCTAGTAAGTGCTGGTTGAATAGAATTAGAACCTGATAAGCAGAGTGACAAATGGGCCACCTCCTACATTGTGAAGTTTATCTTAGGTGAACTCCACACCACCTCTCGGGCATTTACCTCTGGTCTAGGACAACTGCCTCTTGGTTAACAGGCTATTGTTATTTATGGCCAGTCACTTTCAGAGGGAACAATGAGATTTAATATATTAGCCATCAGTAATGTGAGAATGGAAGGGCATGGGCAAAATCCAACATCTCTGCCAGCTTCTCACTCTACCTCTTCCTTCCTGCTCAGAAAACAAGAAAATGTTAATGAGGGTCTTCTAGAGGCAATGTTTTGTTGTCTAACCTGGGGTGAGTTGGGTGGGGCAAGCTTCAGATTTTCAGGTTTGGAAAGGGTCAACCAATAATCCTCTGGAAAGCCTGTTGGAAACATACTTTGAGCAAAGGGGAGTCTTAAATAACAGAATACCAATGCCCACTCTTTTTGCATACAGAAGGCAAAAAGGATCTGTGACTACTTCCACCAGATTGGAAGATGCAGAAAAACGGAACTTGGGCTGATTTTCTGCATGCAGTGGTGGAAAAAAGCCTTTACGATGTATGTATCTTTTTGTTCAGCTCAACTTCCTCTGTGATAAGGGAGAGTGCTATAATATACCTGAACACAGCAAGTAGCAAGTACACAAGTGAAAGTGAAGTCACTCAGTCGTGTCCGACTCTTTGCCACCCTATGGACTGTAGCCTACCAGGCTCCTCCGTCCATGGGATTTTCCAGGCAAGAATACTGGAGTGGGTTGCCATTTCCTCCTCCAAGTACAAGTACACAAGGGGAGTCCAAGACCTGAGGCATTTAGCAGATAAAGTCACAATGAATCATGTTTCAATTCCGTTTATTACTTTCTCTTCAAGAAAATCACAGATACCAAGGGAACATTTCATGCAAAGATGGGCACAATAAAGGACAGAAATGGTAGGTGCCTAACAGAAGCAGAAGATATTAAGAAGAGGTGGCAAGAATACACAGAAGAACTGTACAAAAAAGATCTTCATGACCCAGATAATCACGATGGTGTGATCACTCACCTAGAGCCAGACATCCTGGAATGTGAAGTCAAGTGGGCCTTCGGAAGCATCACTACGAACAAAGCTAGTGGAGGTGATGGAATTCCAGGTGAGCTATTTCAAATCCTGAAAGATGATGCTGTGAAAGTGCTGCCTCAATATGTCAGCAAATTTGGAAAACTCAGCAGTGGCCACAGGACTGGAAAAGGTCAGTTTTCATTCCAATCCCAAAGAAAGGCAATGCCAAAGAATGCTCAAACTACTGCACAATTGCACTCATCTCACACACTAGTAAAGTAATGCTCAAAATTCTCCAAGCCAGGCTTCAGCAATACATGAACCACGAACTTCCAGATGTTCAAGCTGGTTTTACAAAAGGCAGAGGAGCCAGAGGTCAAATTGGCAACATCTCCTGGATCATCAAAAAAGCAAGAGAGTTCCAGGAACACATCTACTTCCGCTTCATTGACTATGCCAAAGCCTTTGACTGTGTGGATCACAATAAACTGGGGAAAATTCTGAAAGAGATGGGAATACCAGACCACCTAACCTGCCTCTTGAGAAACCTGTATGCAGGTCAGGAAGCAACTGTTAGAACTGGACATGGACCAACAGACTGGTTCCAAATAGGAAAAGGAGTACGTCAAGGCTGTATATTGTCACCCTGCTTATTTAACTTATACGCAGAGTACATCGTGAGAAACGCTGGGCTGGAAGAAGCACAAGCTGGAATCAAGATTGCCGGGAGAAATATCAATAACCTCAGATATGCAGACGACACCACCCTTATGGCAGAAAGTGAAGAGGAACTAAAGAGCCTCTTGATGAAAATGAAGGAGGAGAGTGAAAAAGTTGGCTTAAAGCTCAACATTCAGAAAACAAAGATCATGGCATCCAGTCCCATCACTTCATGGCAAATAGATGGGGAAACAGTGGCTGACGTTATTTTTCAGGGCTCCAAAATCACTGCAGATGGTGATTGCAGCCATGAAATTAAAAGACACTTACTCCTTGGAAGGAAAGTTATGACCAACCTAGATAGCATATTAAAAAGCAGAGACATTACTTTGTCAACAAAGGTCTGTCTAGTCAAGGCTATGGTTTTTCCAGTGGTCATGTATGAATGTAAGAGTTGGACTATAAAGAAAGCTGAGTGCCGAAGAATTGATGCTTTTGAACTGTGGTGTTGGAGAAGACTCTTGAGAGTCCCTTGGACTGCAAGGAGATCCAACCAATCCATCCTAAAGGAAATCAGTCCTGAATGTTCATTGGAAGGACTGATGTTGAAGCTGAAACTCCAATACTTTGGCCACCTGATGTGAAAAGCTGACTCATTTGAAAGGACCACGATGCTGGGAAAGATTGAGGGTAGGAGGAGAAGGGGATGGATGACAGAGGATGAGATGGTTGAATGGCATCACCAACTCGATGGACACGATGGGTTTAGGTGGACTCCAGAAGTTGGTGATGGACAGGGAGGCCTGGCATGCCTCCCTGTTAATGGGGTCACAAAGAGTCAGACATGACTGAGTGACTGAACTGAACTGAAGTGAGTGAAAGAAAGAGTAGTCAAAGATTCCTGTTCCTAGTGGTCCTTATCCCACAAGCCAAAAAGAAAGACAGTGAAACAAAAGGGGCTAGAGGACTGCAACAGGTAGCTGTTGGATATCCTCTTGCTAGGAAGCCAATTCTAGACTGCAACTAACTTGCTTTATAGTCTATAGCTCTCTTCTGAGAGAGATGAGTCAGACAGATTCATTTCATCAGATCTCAGAAGGTGGTAAGCAATTAAAAACTGTCTCTTATCATTCCAGAGAAGAGAAGAGATAACAGAGGTGAGTGGGAGATATCCCTGAAGCACTTTCCTGCAAGCTTCCAATGCTCTAGAAGGATCACAGGCATTTTGCTGAGACTCAGATTAGCTATGGTTCAAACCTTTGCTTGCTGGGTTTATGTGGATAACAGTTTCCAGGGTGGAGCTGTTCTACAGTAGTTGGCTGAAGGCTCAGGTACCTTCCCCGATGGGAACAAAAGGAAGTAAAGTCAGAGTCTGTTGAGGAACTTCCTTTCTCCCTCCTTTCTGCTGACCTCCAATTTTGGTCCTTTCATTCAGTCTCTTTGGGATTTGGGATGGGATGGGGGGAGGAGTTAAAGGAATAATGGGATACACACCAAATTCAGGCCCTGAAAGATTCAGTACCAAGGCCAGAGAATCCTAAAGCCCAAGTCCTTTGCTATCTATTTCTGGCTCTTAGTTTCAACTGTTAAATGTATGAATAATGTCTAAAGTCCCTTCACACATGCACACTAGTTCTAACAGGATTAATTTCCATAAATGCAAGTTCAGTGAATGCAGTGGAGGAGCCCAAAAATGTTGGGACATGAGGTCAGATCATCAGGGACCCTATGACTAGAACAGAAAGGTGGATAACATTACTGTTCCTTTAGGACCACCATAAGCTCTGTACTCTATATAGAGTATAGGGAGGAGTCTCGGTCACTTCATTCAGAGCTCCCCTGCCAAACTCCCTCATTTAACATTTACCACCATTATTCTTGACCTTTCCATGTCAGCCCTCTCCCCCTCCCTTCTTTACTAACTGTACAAGATGTGAATACTACTCTAGCAAGGCATAGCTCTGTTTCAAATTTCAGGTCAGCTTTCTGACAGCCATTCAGTTGTCCCTGTAGGAAACTGCCAAAGACAGTTCCATTTCCAAGGGCAGAGCAGATCACTTGATAGAGTAACCAACAGTGGTCCCATGTGCCACCTTTCCCAATCATAGCCCTTCTTCCTCAAACTTCCACAAATGCACCTCTGATGTGGCAGAGAAGAAGGTCTTGGCATACCCACTAGTCCAAGTTATCATTCAATCACTCATTTATTAACTCAAGAAATAATTTATTGATAGCTTCTTTGTGTAAGATGCTGGAGTTCAGTGATGAAGAAAATACAGTTTTTGCCCTAATGAGGCTTACAATACAGAGGTGAGACAA